AAGTCATTAAAATGTGGACCCGATGAAAGATAATTATGCCACACCTATGCTGAACACATCTCGATTCCACAACAGCAATACCTCTACTCACCTCACCAGTTCGTAAAAAGCTCAGATAAAAGCCAGCCCTTGAACTACAGACACCAAATCGAGCACATATTCTGCTTGTCGTGTCTGATCTTAGCCCATATTTGACGCTGATTACGAAAGCCACTTTGAGTTTAAAAGACGATGGGCTCAATGTTGTGCTAAGCTGCCGATGCTGGAAGAATCAAATGCAACCGTGCTGAGAGGATACACAATCTAGGCAGGCGGAGATAAGGTATGGTGAGAATAGAGCAAGACATGAAGATTACTAGGCCTACTTGTTTTGCGCGTTTTACAACAAAAAGGAGAGGAGTGTTCAGAACCAGCCACCGACCCTACTCAATGCATTCATCTTGTGAATAGGCCAGCTAATGTGGATTAGATCCGGTTGGTCAAAACTGAACTTACTCTGGAGCCATGGCAAACATGCGGCTTCCGAAAATCGGGCCACAATAAGAGATACAGAACAAATCTGCACACACGGCACTCGGTCGGAACCAAATCAAAAGTCACCAGAATTACCCAAGAAGAACTGTTTTTCCAGAGAAATCAGCATTGCCTTTACCCTTAAAGTCACGCGGACACAAAGATAACACAATTCCATAATAACATACCTTTATTTGGAATGCCTGAGACCGAATACGTTTGAACAACATTTCAAGAACATTGCCTAAAATTAAATGGAAAGAAGAATGATGTAATAATAAAACGTCAAATAAAAGACAAAATAAAACACATTTCTACATTCGACTAGTGAGTCGGCCCAAATCCCATCCATCAAGAAAGGCATTTCACCATACGCGGTCTGCTTAAAAGTTCGCAGCCATTCCACATCGACCAGTGATCGTGCGCGCAGGGCATCGATTTTCTCTGATGCGCCCAAAAGGCACCTGAGCTTAAGCAGCCAAATTTGAATTAGGCGCTCATCGATTGACGCGTTTTCTTCGAGTCGCGGGAAAAGCATGAGAGATTTCCCAAGC